ATCAGCATGCATGGTTAAGTTGGGCACGTCACTCTACAGGAGGAAAATTCAAAATAGACAAAAAGTCGCATGGTGATTATTTTTTCCCCATATCCTAAGATGGGGTTCTTGTTATTCCCCATATCCTAAGATGGGGTTCTTGTTATTACTTGGACGCCTCCTACTCCTCCTCCTCCTCCTTCCTCCTCCTCTTTTCTCCTCCCCTCCTGTCGGACATACTCAGACTTGCTCATACACAGACTTACTTATACTCAGACTTACTCATACTCAGACCTACTCATACTCAGACTTACTCACACTCAGACATACTCATGTACAGACTTACTCATACACAGACTTACTCATACACAGTATTAGTCATACCCAGACGTACACATCAGCACCCCTAAGGGGAGCCGCCAGGGGTGGTTGCACGGGCTCGTTCGCGGCCATTTTGTGGGGATGTCTCAGGCGGTTTGCCTGTTTCTGTGCCCAACATCCTTCGCTTTCGGAGCAGATTTGGAGGATGTCTCGAGCGAGGCGCTCATTTCAGCACCCCTAAGGGGAGCCGCCAGGGGTGGTTGCACGGGCTCGTTCGCGGCCATTTTGTGGGGATGTCTCAGGCGGTTTGCCTGTTTCTGTGCCCAACATCCTTCGCTTTCGGAGCAGATTTGGAGGATGTCTCGAGCGAGGCGCTCATTTCAGCACCCCTAAGGGGAGCCGCCAGGGGTGGTTGCACGGGCTCGTTCGCGGCCATTTTGTGGGGATGTCTCAGGCGGTTTGCCTGTTTCTGTGCCCAACATCCTTCGCTTTCGGAGCAGATTTGGAGGATGTCTCGAGCGAGGCGCTCATTTCAGCACCCCTAAGGGGAGCCGCCAGGGGTGGTTGCACGGGCTCGTTCGCGGCCATTTTGTGGGGATGTCTCAGGCGGTTTGCTGTTTCTGTGCCCAACATCCTTCGCTTTCGGAGCAGATTTGGAGGATGTCTCGAGCGAGGCGCTCATTTTCACCCCCCAGGTGGGCCAGATTTTGAGGATGTCTCGATCGGTTTGCTTGTTTTGGTGGCCAGGCTCGTGGGCGCAGATTCTTCTCAGGATGCCACAGGAGGCTCCAACAGGCTCCAGGAGGCCCAGGAGACCACATGAGGTCCCAGGAGGCATCAGGAGGCCACAGAAAGACTCAAGAGGCCACAGGATGTCCCAAGAGGCTCCAGGAGGCCCCAGGAAGCTCCAGAAGGCCTCAGGAAACCACAGGAGGCCCCAGGAGGCAACAGGAAGCGCCAGGAGGCCTCGGAAGGCAACAGGAGGCCCCGAGAGGCCCCAGGAGCAGGAGGCCTCAGAAGGCAACAGGAGTGGCTCCAATCCCATGTGTTTTACGTATGCTCCTATCGATTGGGCCTCACCTGGAGCACGATTCTTTGATGTTCTACGTATGTTTCTATAGATGGTCCTTCTCCTGTGTACACAATCCTAAATGTTTTACTCATGTTCCTATGTATTGGGCCTCTCCTGGGGCACGAGTCCTTGGTGTTTTACGCGTGTTCCTATAGATTGCCCTTCTCCTGTGGCTCTAATCCGCAATGTTTTATGTACGTCTGTTGCTATAGATTGCGCCTCCCCTGGGGCACGAAACCTTCCTAGGAGGTCCCAGGAGGTCCCAAGAGGCTCTTGGAGACCCCAGGAAGCCCCAGTAGGTTTCAGGAGGCCCCAGGAGGCCCCAGGCTCATGCACAGAGACGCGCTCGTACTACTGAGGCTCATTCACACTCCAATTCATTCGCAATTAGATTGATGTCCAGACCGTCACAACTGAAGCCCGCTAATATTCGAAAGCTCTTGCGCCTAGACATTCACGGCGGACAGGTCCATGCGAGTAGATGCACATATGGGGAGCTCCACGCAGTGAATAATTGTATTTTGTATTATTTAATCGCTTCGCTCATTCCGCCGGCCCTGGAGAGCTATTTGGGGCCTCTTGAGGCCGTCTTGGGGGCTGCTTGGGGGCTTCTTGGGAGCGTCTTGGGCTCCTTGGCGGCGTATTGGGCTCCCCTGGGGCCTCTTGGGGGCCCCTTGGGGCGGGAGGGGGGGTAGTCGATTGCAGCCCCCCCCTCGGAGGTCACGATCCTCGTGAGGGGTGGCGAAAAATAGCTTCCCCCCTGGGGATCGCCCGGGACCCGGCCGGGACCCGGCCGGGGGTCAGCCAGGTTTTTCCTCGTCCAGGGCCCCCCAGGGGCCGCCCCGCGCGCACGAATTAGAAATATTGTGAAGTAGTTACCGGAGATCTTAGCACGCCTCTGGCCCGTTGGGCCGGCGAATTTTTAAATATTTTTGGGACACATTTTTCGTCCAAAATCCCCCTGGAGGGGGACATGCCCGACCTAGATGTATGGTCAGGGATTTTGCCCCAGCGTGTCGCCCCGGCGGATCTCACCCCGCCGTCCCGCTGTGCATTGGGAGAACCCTGCACGGCGGAGGAACCTGTCGAGTCGGATGAGAGTGTCGGTATCGTTTAACCGATCCCCATCCCCATCCCCATCCCCTTCGAGACTCCCACCAAATTAGCACCCCAGTTGGGGCTACACCCCTCGAAACCCGAAGGGAACGGCCTACATCCACATCTAGGGGGTACATCGGCCAGTGGGGCCCCGGGCCACGCCGCTGGGGATGGGGATCGATTAAACGATACTCGAAGTGGGGGGGGGGGTAAGGGAAAGGGGGTGGTGCGAAGTCTGCTGCGTGCAGCTGGCTTCGGCCCCGTCACCCGGTGCACTGCCTCGACACGCTGGCGCCTCCCCGGCGCCGGCAGGCGCCGGGAGAAGACGCCGCGCGAGTTGAGATTCACGAGCCCCGACGCCGCGCCTCGGCGCGACACGCTGTTCACGTCCAAGTCCCCTTAGCGCCAGCGTCCGCAGCCGTTTCGGCTCAAGGTCGAGCCGGTCTCGCTTGAGCTACTATATGGGCTGCTGTTGAAATATGGTTCACAGCGGGCACCTCGCAGTGGTAGTGAGCCTTTTGTGCTGTGTCGCGACGTATGTGGTGTTTGGACTCGGCACCAGCTCGCGTTCTGTCCGTTTCATGTTTGGCAGCGGCGTAAACAACCGTGCGGCGTTGGCCAAGCGCACGCGGAATCAAGCACCAAACAAGTACGACGTGTCAAAACAACACGTACCTAACAATGGCACGACCATGGGCACGGTCGATCATATGATCTCTCGGAATCTGCAGACGCAAACCATCCAGGAAGAGGCCAACAAGTTCTTGCACTCGCCCCTACCTCCAAAGAGGGAAGTCAGCCGATCACAGCCGCTTGTATTCTTCGCACAGAGAAATGCAGGCGGCGCTTCTCTCACAGACTTGCTGACGGAGGCTTCGAAAGATGAGAAGTTGGCAACTGCCTTCCCTGGGAAGGGCGTAATGTGGTATGGTGGCAAGCAAACGGCTGTCTATATTGGGTCTGTGGACTGGATGGAGGTGTCTCGCACATTTGCGCGGCGGAACAGGTTTTCCCAAGAAAAGCACGCCTGGGAAGGGGGAACTCCTGACTTCTCGTGCATGACAAATTTCCAGGACCCCCTGGCGCGCATCCAGTCATGCTACTACCGCCAGCTCCTCAAGCAGGGCGCCCCGGCCTGCCTCGCCGATCTGGAGCCCGAGCGGATGCGGGAGCTCTTCCACCGGAGCCATGATGAGGATGGGTACAGTTGCATGAACGAGCCGTTCCGCTTGCTGAGTGGCTTGGTTCACGATTATTTGCTCGATGTGGACGCTGCAACCGAGGAGTGGAATTTCGTGTTCAGGTCGACGCTGCAGAACCTTGCCCGCTGCGTCCCGATCATCGTCGAGGATGCTTCAACGCTCAAGGCTGCGGCCTCATGGTTTCCGATGCTCTCTGAGGGTGCGGATAATATCAGAGACCTCGTGCAGGAGATCAAGAACGAGTCCTTAACGTGTAAGCTTTCTGAGCCCCAGTTGGACGTGCTGAGAAGCCTAACAGCACACGAACAAAGGCTGTACGACTTGGCTGTAGAGAGGGCCAGACAGTTTCTTCCCCATAATTAGGGCCTGATGCTTGGATCTAGGCTTCAGCTGATGACACAAGGTGCGCGGGCCTCTGTGCCGATTCTATCATCCGCGCTGCACTGCAAAAGCGAAAGAAACAAGGTCCCCGCAGCGCCAGCGTCTCGAGCCTCTCCGAGCCTCCCGCCCCGCGGAGCGGAGCGGCACGCTGTCCGCTTGCAGGGCGCAGCGCGTCGCCGGGGCCGCCGCCGCGGCACGCCGAGCAGGGCATCCTGACCGTGGAGAGGCCGGGGTGTGGTGGGCTCTCGGTTGGGAGCGCCCGGCCCTGACTCCAGGTCCGCCCTACTTTGGCTTTTTTTTTCCAACTTAGAATTGCGTCGGAAATCCACCTATAAGAGGCCGAAAAAGTAGGGCGGAAATTGCTGCACCCAACATAACATAGGGCGGAAATCCACAGAAACAGCAACAGAAAAGTAGGGCGGAAATTGGCATCAGCGGGGCTTGAAAAGTAAGGCGGAAATTCCAAGCCCCACTTACGAACTTCCCCAAAGTAGGGCGGATCCGGAGTCAGGGCGTTCCGAGCGGCCGGGGGAGGCGCTCCGTGCGGAAGCCGCCTGCAGGAGCAGAGGATGATGCCCTCCAGAGGCCTTTTGGTGCACGAGGGGGCCGTCGGAGGCTCCGTTTTGAAGCAAGTGGGGCTCCCCCCCCAAACAGCAGATTGAAGCGAGTGGGGTCAGAAGGTCGACAGCGTCAGCAGGCTCAGGGAAGCAGTCAGAAATTGGGCGGGGGTTGGCACGAGAAGGCCCCCTCTGCGGTCCTGGTTGTTGCGCAAGCGGCACAGCTTGAGGTGGCGCGACACCAAGGGACCGCCTCACAGCTGCCCAGGCGGCATGACACGAGAATTTCTGGCAGTGGATGTTTGCCCCTCGGCCTACATCCTAGCGGCCCCCTTTCCATTGCCCCTCGGGTGGAATACCTTCGCTCTAGTATGCTTCCTTGCTTGCCAGGAGGGTGTTATCGTGGACACTGTGTTCTACAATAACCTCAGCGCCATGAACGGGTCGATCACGCACACGGGCGACGCTACCGACGGGGCGCTCCGGGGGGTCCGTGACGGGAGACTGCCTTTTGGACATAACGCGGACATATTCGAGGGGAGGGATGTGAGTTGACAGCACGCGTTGGTCGACCCAGTTGATTTCTGGGGTTGGGCCCGAACCAACTCGAGCGACATATCTACGCGGCTGGACCTGGCCAGGCGGGGGCGACTCGGACTACTTCTTTTCGGATTGGTCATCGGCTCGTAAGGCATGCTGCCGACATGCCAGCCAAGTCACCGCGTGATGCGTGATCGCGCCCTGGCTCATCCATGCCGGTGATTCTTCGAGGGAAGGAGGCTGCTCTCCGCACAGCCTGGCGGTTCTTCACGAGTCGACTTCGCCAGGTCACTTCGTCCGCTCTTGAGGCTAACACTGGCTCTTAGGCACGATGCCAAGCACAGTGGCTGGTGGGGTCATGACTTCTATCTCTTGGGCATTCTTGGGCAGCACACGTCCATGTTGAGTCAACAGAACACGGCAAGACGATGAGGCGAGTAGTTTTCACACATAATCAGTCGGATATGCATCCAAGCATGCAAGTAGCTGGGTTCACACTCACCTCGGGTGGGCCAGAACCTTGCGTTGGTGCTTCTAGCCTTGCAGCAATCTTGCATCAGCCGTGTAGCACCCTTGTCACTTCAGCGCGCGACCATGCCAGTTTTTCTCATCACCTTGATGCTGCCGTATTGTCTTGTGGTGTCCTAGAGGACTTCCAGCGGATTCCCCAGGGCACCCTTCGAGCTCCACGTGCTACCACCGGGAATCCCGCGGGAGGGCGTACGGCATTCGTTGGGCTCTTGAGGTCGCCCATCCGATTCCCGATGAAACCTCTCGGATTCCTTGTGGAGTAACCAGGGATAGGGGTAGGGGTCCACAGAGATAGGGGCTAGATCCTTGACCTTCGTTGCGACACCCTCTCTTGGCCTTATTGGGGCGGCCACCGATAGATTTAGTTTTCTGTTTGCGGCGGATGCTAAGTTTATCGTTCTGCGAAAACTGCCCGCCTGGAATATTGAAAAAAACGGGTGCTAAGAATAACCTAGGTTTTTTTTTAATGCCTGGTCAGGGTTAGTTCGTGAATGTTAGGAGTCCTTCGGATTCGCAGGTATTGCACGGAACGCTTAGGATTCTCTGGAGCTGCACAGGGATTCCAAGAGCCTGGAGGAACGCACAGCCATGCCGCAGAAATCCCGAGGAGCCTTTGGGATCTTTTTCGGGCTCCTGAGGAGGCTCGTAAGACACCATGCAGGTCCCAGGGGGAACCCGCAGCTTTCATTCGGACATCTTGCTGCTTCCAGGGGGCAGCTGCCCAGGATTCTTTAGATACCGGGATGTACTGCAGAGCTCCTCAGAGATCCAGAGGGACTCCGTACTTGGGATTCTTCCGCCTTCGGGATGTTCCAAGAGTTTGTGGGATCCTCACGGGATCGTATTCCTTGTGGAATCATGGGGGCTCCTCCTGAATCCTTACGGCGCCCCAAATGGCATCCGCATGAAACCCGCTGACAGATTTCCGGATCCATTTCGGAATTCTCAAGGTTCCTCATGGTTTTCCACGCTTGTGGTGAAATCTTTCCGGATTCCAGCAGAATTCTGTTTTTTGTATCCCATAAGGCTTCTCACGATTATCAGGTAACCCTGAGCATGTCAAAGGTAATGTTCTAGAGTTCTTAGGGCCGCAAGGAGAATTTCACAGCATTTCCTCTGATAGTTGTCTAGTTTTCGGATCACACTTTCAAGATACCTTAGAATATAGAACCCGTGGGGAAGTCCTCAGGACTCTGTTTGTTTTCCCTCCAAGAAGCCTGGCGAAGGACCCAACCAGATGCAGCTGCACGTCCCGCGAGGCAGGGGATACGAAGGAGAGGGGCGATCAAGCTACGAGTGGCGTACGATGTGACCTCTCCTTGTAGGCAACGTGCCACAAAAGGATGCAACTGGAGCCACGCGGGCGCTGCCGCAGGGGCATTCGGTAGAGCCCATTGGGCCACTGAGCGTGCAAGGGGTATACCAAAATGGGCCCGGATCGACACGCGGGCCCTGCCATTGGGGCCTTCGGTGGAGCTCTCCTTGGGGCCACGAGACGTGTGAGGGGTATGCCGAAACAGGCGCGGTCATGCATGCGGGCCCTGCTGCTGAAGCCTTCGGTGGAGCTCCTCATGAGGCTACGACACGTGTTAGGGGTGTGCCAAGATGAGCGCGGTCACGCATGCGGCCCTGCCACTAATTAGGGCCTTCGGTGGAGCCCCCCATGGGGCCACGAAACGTGCGGTGTGTGTGTGTGTGCCGATGTTTGGTTGATGATGGCGATGAGGATGAGGACAAGGATGCGGACAAGGAGGAGGAGGGGGAGGAGGAGGGAGGAGGAGGATCAGGAGGAGGAGGATGATGACGATGTTGACGATGATGATGCTGCTGATGGTGATACTAATGACAATGGTGCTGCTGGAGCTGCTGATGATGATGATGGTGGTGATGATGAGGATGCTGCAGATGATGCTGCCGATGATGATGCTGATGATGATGATGCTGCTGATGATGATAATGCTGATCATTATGATGATGCTGACGATGATGATTATTATGATGATGCTGATGATGACGATGATGATGACGATGATGATGATGATGATGATGATGATGATGATGATGATGATGATGATGATGATGATGATGATTGCGACGGCGACGATCAGGACACGCTGAGGGCAGAAGCGGGAGAAATGAGTATGGGTAGGAAGAGGACGCTGAGGTGGCGCGGGGCGTTGCTGATTCAAACCGAGGTTTCAACACCACAGGTTGTTGAGAACAACACGTGGTAACCCTGACAATTCCAGTACATTCCCTTGAGTTCGTTGCAGGTTTAAAGCAGTCCTGCAGGTCACAATGATACTTCATGGCCCTCTCAAACGCATACCGGGTTCCTGCACATTGGTTGTTCACGATGTCCGTGGACATCCTTCGGCCTCCTTCAGGTTGCTTTCGGGTTCCTTAGGGAATGTTTGGGCTTCCGTCAGAAATCCTTCGGCTTCCGCAGGCCTGGCTTCATCATATTCGGAACTGGTGCGGAAGCCCTCTGGGTTCTTATCAGAATGCCTTGTGGGTTCTTCACGTTTTCTTCAGGATTACCGAGCCACAGGAACCTGTAAGAAACCGTGACGAGTCCTCAGGGAGCCCTGAGGGATCCGAAAGGAGCCCGCCTGATTTTGTCATGTCCTTTGGTTTCCCGTGGAACTCTTGTCGAACATGGACTATGGACGGAACAGAATTGGCGCACGTATCATCTTCGTGCTGTCTTACTGTATAACGCCTCTTTTGCAACTTGATGAATGCAGTAAGGGAAGCGGAACATTTCACACCTGACTGTCATGCGGTCGCACAAATTAGCATCGTAGTATTCCTATTGCGTTCCTTCGGTCAGGTTGGCACTGTTGGTAGTACCAGGTTGATCGCATGTAGATATATCGGAAGCGTCTTGAGACAGTCGTCATTAGTTGCGAGCGCCTGGAGAGCACGCCATAGTGTCACCAGTGCGCGTGCGTGTGCGCGTGCGCGCACGCACACGCACACGCACACGCGCTCAGGATCGGGCTCGGGCTCGTGGTCGGGCTCACGCTAGGGCTCGGGTTCGGGCTCGGCCTCGCTCGGGCAAGAGCACGCACGCGCACGCACGCGCAAGCACGCGTGCGCGCACGCGCACGCTCACGCACGCGCACGCGCACTAACGCGCACGCGAACTGCCCTACTTGTCCGCGAGGCATGACTACAATGATAGGAGCTCGACCCCCATGTCCCGTCCGGTCCCCCCCCGTCTATTTATAGGTTCAAAGCCTTCAGCGGGGTGAGGCTCCAGCGCGCAATTTGTTCAAGGAAAATGGCCCCAGCATCTCATGCCGATAAGAAGGGTGGGTTCTTGCATTTAATGTTACGAGGGACAGTCATTCCAGCAGCCTGCGGCGTGGGCTCTAGCACCCATTTTTTTGACGGGGACTGCCGTTCCAGCAAATGATGCCGAGAAGAAGGGTTGGTCCCGTTATTGCAATTTTATTCGGCGCAAGCACACCACCCAGTTCTCACACAGGACAGTTTTTCCAGCAGGCCACGGCGTTGGTTCGCGGAGGTGTCACGGCTGTCGTTTGAAAGGGCAGCTGGAGCGACGCGCGCCCCAGCCACGAACCCGCTTGCAGTCCGTCAACATAAATCACTAGCAACTTGTTCACCGAACTGACTTGTATCTTGAGCAAGTGATTCCCGAGCCCGAGCTGTCATTGCGAGGGAGCACGGGTGTGAGGTTTGACCCTGGCAGTTCTCCTATTGAGCCCGATGCCGTGGCCATGTTTGCGCAAGCTCAGTGGTGGCTGCACAAGTGCGTCTGCGCAGAAGCAGAGAGTTCAGGTGAGGACAATCTGGATCACGATGCACTGGGCCCCGGTGCCCGAGCTGCACCGCAGCTTGCGTGGCGCAGTGGCCGTCGCCCCCACGCCCACCGAGCCGTGCGGCACCCGCGCAGCTGCCTGGGTGCAGCCTGCCGGCCTCGGCGTGTGGGGGGGCGCACTCCACGGGGCGCAGCGTGGGGGGTCGAGCAGTGGCGCGGCGCCCTGGCTTGCCCACTGGCCCACCACAGGATGTTCTGAGAACCTTTCTGGTGGTTTGCACGCGCTGTTCTCAGAACATTTCTGGCCGAGGCTGTCGTGCTCTCACGCAGCGGGTTCACGTTCTGAGAGCAAGGCTTCTGTTCTTAGAACAGTCCGGGGTGCTGAGAGCATGTCGCGGTGGGCCTGGAGGAGTGCCAGGGCGGTCGGCCCTTGCTCCAGGGAGGGAGGAGGGAGGGCCGGGCCAGACGTCCGATGGGGTGGACGAGTCCGTCTGGATCCAGCTGGCGCTGGTCCCGGAGCAGGTCTGGGGGA